GCGCCACGCCCGAACCAAAGTTGCAACGGAAAATGGGGTTTCCTGCTGTTTCATTTTGGTGTAAAGTGTGTTTTGGTATATGTACAGGGACTGTATTTTCCTGGAAAAAATAAAGGGCAAATCTGAAAAAGGGGCAAATCTGAAAGAGGTTCCTAAGGATTGATTGATATACATATACATATACATATACATATATATATATATATAAATATACACATACATACATATACATATATTGTTTATGTTGATAACTTGGCTTTACAAAGGAAAATTCAAGAGCAAAAGGAAGAAAATAAATGCATAAAATAAACGTAAAGGCCAGCTTTCTGAAATAAAGGACTGTTCTTTATAATAAAGGAGGCATGGTCAGTGTAGGTATATGATGCCCTGTGAAGAACATAGCAATGCATTTTAATAAAGTGTACAATATGGTTTTTAAAGAAACGTAAAAGTAGGGACTTCACCAACGTTAATTTCCAACCGGAGGGCTATAATGGCACTGCTCTTTCTGATCCATGTGGAGAGTGTTTGTGCGTTCTCAGACGTGATGCAGGGCCTTTCCAAGTCTGTTAGGAAGTCTTTCGTTAACAAATGAAGCATCGATGTTTATACTCCTTCTTTGGGCATGTTCATTACAACTGTTAAAATATTGGAAGCTGGATGAAAAGATGCCGGAAGAGGCACCTGCAGGCGCCTGGTCATTTGAAGCTGCATTGTACTGGAACTGAAAACATAAATGTAAATAGTAAAATAAAGTGCGTTGCTAGAGCAGGCCAAGTTTTTCCTATTGTAACGCCCAAGAATAGGCGCCTAGAAAGGCCTCCTATTTCTCATTGCAGAAAAAAAATGGCATTGCAAAAAATGGCATTTTTTTCCTCCAAGGTCTCCTTCAATTTAATGAAAGAAAGAGGGGATGTTAATTCACTTCTTTATTTGTGCATTTATGTAGCAGCCAAGGGATATGGATGAATGTCTAATCTTTCCTTGTGTGATTATCCTTCCAGAGGTCTGCAGCCTTGCTGGCTTCCAATGCTTCAATTAAATCCCAGGGGAAGACTTGCGGGGGGGGAAACCTGTCCCCTTGAGGAGGGTGGACATCCAAGGGGCGTCGGAGTAATTAGAATAATGTGCAGGTATCTTTGGGGAGGTGGTTAAAAAAGTCATGATGGCAATCATGCGTGTGTGATGGAAGCCCTGCCTCTTTTAAACATGCATCAATGCATATAAAACTGGATGGGGCCTTCAGCTGCATAGGCCTGACTGCCATCTTGGCATTTCTGAGCCCCGTGGATGCCCCACGTTATGGGCAACAGAATACCAGCAGTCGTGCCCACTGCCCCCTTCCACGAGATGTGTAGTGCAAAAACACTGGCAAGAGAAGTTCAGAAGTTCTCAAGCCTCCTAAACAGGAAGTTAAAAAACAGAAGACTTTTGCACCGGAGAAGAAAACTGAAAAATAGCGAGTCAGAGTTTGGCACGAGGGTTGGCATTTTTCACTGGGTCTCTTTTGACACCAGCAGAGACTCAGCCTCTGCAGCTTTAGGACGACGATAGAAAAAGTCGCAGTGGGGACAAGCGATGCCCTAGCAACCTGTGCAGCTACAGAAAGAGGAACTGGAGATTTATTTAAGGAGAGGGAGAAACAATCCTGGTTGGGCAATACTTCCTGATCAACCATAGCAGTGTTTCTCAATCTTAGCAACTTGAAGATGTGTGGACTTCAACTCCCAGAATTCCCCAGCCAGCATGCTGGCTGGGG